TCGGCTCTTTGGTTCGTGGGGCTTGATGTTGGTCTCCTTGAGATTTGTCATTTTTAATCCTGGATTCAAATGTTATGTATCTTGGTGACTCGTGTTTGGGGGACGCTTTTCGGTTTTGCAGCCGAGGCCATGCGCCTCGGACTCATCCCCGGGTAAAGCTCGCCAGCCACTCGGACCCACCCTCCCTGCGCGGAGTCCGGGTGTCCAGGACTCCCCGCCCAGCGGCGGGAGCCACGCCAGGCCCCTGGGGACGGCCACGTGCCCCGAGTCCCGTGCGCTCCGTGCGCTTCGTGGTTCCAGTTGCAGAAATGGCGCCGGGTAGAAAGTGCGTAGGCTCCGACCCGCGGGGGACACGCTCCCTTCTCCATACGCAGTGGTCAAGCGGCTTTTCCGTACGCAGGTTTTCCGTAGGAGCCCCGGGGTAACCTAACCCCGTTTGGCGCTCGACCGCCAGCCGAAAGATCGGCGGTTCGAACGCCCCCGGGGGACCTACGAAGAAAGCCCTGGCTTTCTGTCACTTCGGACAGGTCACAGCGTGTAGCACCCTGTTCGACTCTGACGCACAAAGGAGCTCCCCCGGGAACGGGAATCTAGTCACAGCGACACGGAGCCACGACCAGCGTTCCGTGTGTTGCCATGGTCAGCGCGCCGCCTACCCCGCCCCCCTCGCTCCCTGGGAAGCCGTGGACTAGCAGGGACTTACCATTCCCTGGGTCCGCCTCACCGGGGGTAATGGGTTTGACAGTACTTGTAACGCAGGTTTGCATGAACTGAACCTCGGGAAACTGCCCTACACAACCTCTTCCTTATGAAACGTTCCTGTACCCCAAGTCAGCCTGGGCCCCACCACACCTTTACCAGGGTGCGGGGCCTCCAGGGGCTGGTTCCATCTCTGAGTTTCACAGACACTTTCTCTCAGGGCTGCCCTGCCCGTGCCCTGTACCTGTCCTCTGATCTGTGGGTACACGCCCCTCACTACCAAAAATTATTACTAAGTCGATACCTGGTTGTACCTCTTTCGCCTCCCTGTGATGCAAAAATCTAGTCCATCTCGTTCACCACCCGGGGTGCCGCTCACACTGCAGGTGGCAGCTGTGTGTTGAATGGGAGACTCTTGGTTGTGCTGTCAGGTCACTTGGAGTCACTCCCACCTCCCAGCGACTCTGGGTACACCGCCATCCCCACAGTTGGCCTCAAGCTTAAGCCCCATTGTTGCAGCCACTGTTGCGATCCCTCTCGTTGAAGAGGTCGTTCTGGTTTTCCTAACCCTGCTCCTTCACCAAGCATGTCGTATGTTTCTCCAGGGACTGGTTTCTCCTGGTAACGTGTCCGAAGTAGGCTAAGTGAGACCCAAGTCTTGCCATTCTCACCTCTAAGGAGCATGCTGGCCAGACTTCTTCCAGGACAGATTTGTTTGCTCTTTGGGCAGTCCGTGGTACTTTCGAGGGGAACATGACCCCGTGGCAGAGTGAGTGAGTCCGTGGTCCTTTCGTGGGAACTTGGAGTGAGAGAAAATACACACGGTTGATTTCCTTCTAAAGGTCATAGCCTGGTGGGAGAGAGAGGGTTAATAATTACACAACTGTGTGTGTGTGTGTGTGTGTGTGTGTGTGTGTGTGTGTGAGAGCGAGAGAGAGAGAGA